CTTTCCCTCCAAATCCCCCTTCCCCACTCCTCTCCAGTATCACTTTTGCCGTAATAATTAAGAGTTGGCTTCTGGTGGCACCGAATCTGAGAGACCCTCAAAAGCGACAATTCTACCAGGGCATCTGCATGGCCTTACGCACACGGGCAGGGACAGCTGTTCCCGGGCCCCGGGTGGAAGCAGAGAAACATCAGCCCTGCTCCACCTTTTACTTCTCTCCCCTGTGCAGCCTGCAGTTTCTCTCCCTTAGCAACGTGCTAGAAATGAGAAGCAGGTTCTTGCAAAATTGCCCCCTCCCTAGGGCCCCACAACCCGATGAACCGGGTTTGCCCTGAGATGTCCACACATCCTGGTCTAGTTTCACACGTCTGTTTACTAACAGCCAAAGTAAGTGACAGAGTCTACGCTGCAGCCTGGAGGAAGTGACGGAGCGGTGGGCTACAGTCTGGCACAGGCACCCGAAGGCAGGGACAGGTCCCAGAGAGGAAGCCTGGCCTTGTGCCCCAGCTACGTGGTGAGATTCCTTACCAGTCTGCACGGAATGGGAGCTCGGGCCCCTTCCGGCAGTTTCCAGGCATGCATATCCCGGCTGTGGGCAACATATCTGTGCTTAAAGATCTGTCATTCTGTTTAGAATTGTGGTGGTTCAGCCCTAGCTGGTGTGGCTCACTAGATAGAGCATCAGGCTGGAGACTGAAGAGTTCCAGGTTCGATTCCGGTCAAGGGCACGTACCTGGATTGCAGGCTCCTCCCTGGCCCGGGCCCTGGTCAGGGAGCGTGCACGAGGCAACCAATCAATGTGTGTCTCACATATCGATGTTTCTCTCTGTCTTTTCCTCTCTCTGTTCCACTTTCTCTAAAAGATCAATGGAAAAATATTCTCAGGTGAGGATTAACAAAAATAACTAAATAAATAAAACGCTCCAGTGGGTTTGGCTCAGTGGATAGAGCATCGGCCTGTGGACTGAAGGGTCCCGAGTTCGGTTCCAGTCAAGGGCATGGAAAGGTGTCCACAATGCACAAGTTTTGTTTTGTTTTTCAGGGGGAAGTTACTCATTATGGCATGATTCCATTTGTGTGCTTGCATATGTACATACAGAAAACTTCTGAAAGGGTGCAAAAGCCCAGTGGGGGTCATGCAGGAGGTAGCCGATCAATGATTCTCTCTCATCATTGATGTTTCCCTCTCTTCCTCTCCCTTCCTCTATATCAATACAAATATATTAAAAAAATTAAAAACAAACTAAAAATCAATGGAAAAACATCCTCAGGTGAGGATAAATAAGTAAATAAATAAAATTCTAACTTTCCATTATTATGGATAGAAAAAAAAGGAATAAAAAGAATTGTGGTGGTTTAAGTATGAACTCAGGAAGTACATTTTAAGAAATGACTTGCACACCCACTCGGATGGCTATAATACAAGGAAAGGAAATAAACGAGGGTTGGCAAGGACGTGGTGATAGAGGGAGCCACGTATATGGCAGGAAGGTAAAATGGTGCAGACACTTTGGCAAACAGCCTGGCAGGTCCTCCAACAGTTAAACACAGAGTTACCACACGTCCCAGCAAGCCTACTCGTGGGGAGAACTTAGCTGAAGCAGGAACTGGGATGCTTACACACCCCTTTTCCTGGTGGCACCGAAAGCCCAAGACCTGGCCAGATAGCTCAGCTGGTGAGACCATTGTCCCCATACACCAAGGTTGCAAGTTCAATCCCTGGTCAGGGCACATACAAGAATCAACCAATGTGCCCTAGCCTGTTTGGTTCAGTGGATAGAGCTCCGGCCTATGGACTGAAGGGTCCCAGGTTTAATTCGGGTCAAGGGCACATGCCCGGGTTGCGGGCTCAATCCCCAGTAGGGGGTGTGCAGGAGGCAGCCAATCCATGATTCTCTCTCATCATTGATGTTTCTATCTTTCTCTCCCCCTCCCTTTCTCTTTGAAATCAATAAAAATATATTTAAAAAAAAAGAATCAACCAATGAATATATCAATGGAATACTAAATTGACATTTCTATCCCTTCCTTTTTAAAAATCAATCCAGCAATAAAACTACCCAGAGCCCTAATTTTTATAAGCATCTCTGAGGACAGAACTTAGGCAATTCTTCATGGAAAAGCAACATCAGAGAAAAAGAATTTAATATTCACCTATTATTGAGAACTTTAAAGTCCTATTGAGACCCTGATCATACATATCGCCAAAGTACCTGAGCTCTTTGGGTCTTGATCCCGGGCTCCAAGCCAGTCACACAAATTCAACCCCAGGCTTCACAAAACTCCACTGGAGTTTTTATTATGAAAGACTAGAGGCCCAGTGCACGAATTCATGCACAGGTGGGGTCTGGCCGGCTGGGGTCTGATCAGGGGTGGCGCCGGTGTGTGGGGGAGGGGCCTTGGGTGGTTGGCCGGCTGGCCCCACCAAAAGAGAGACAAACATCAATTTGTAGTTCACCCATCTATGCGTTCATTGGTGCCCCGACTGGGGATCAAACCCACAAACTTGGCATATCGGGACGATGTTGTAACCAACTGAAACTCATCATTGATGTTTCAATCTCTCTCTCCCTCTCCTTTCCCCTCTGAAATCGATAAAAATATATTTTAAAAAAGATGAAAAAATAAAATTAGGGAGTGTGATACCGCCAACTTTGTTCTTTCTCAGGATGCTTTAGCTATTTAGGGTCTTCTGTCTATTTCATGCCAATTTTAGGATTGTTCTATTTCTGTGAGAAATGTTATTGGTATTTTAATAGGGATGGCATCAAATATATAGATGGCTTTGGGTAATATGGATATTTTACCAATATTCTCCTTATTCATGAACATGGTATATCTTTCCATTTCTTTGTGTCTTAACTTCATTAGAGTCTTGTTGTTTTCACTGTACAGGTATTTCACTTCTTGGTTAAATTTATTTCTGGTTATTTTATTGTTTTTTATGCTATTGTGAATGTGATTGCTTTCTTTAATTCTTTTTCAGATGTTTTGTTGTTAGTATATAGAAATGAAACTGATTTCTACATGTTGATTTTATATCTTGCAACTTTACTTAATTTAACGATTAGGTCTCACAATTTTTTGGCTGACTAGCGCTTCCCCACGTGGCCCTGCATGGCCTCTTGGGAACTGCACCAAACTATCTCTTCAATGACAATTGTCTCTTGATCCCTTGGCCTTGAAGCACCTCAAGTTTTCTATTAATACCTTTATTCTAAAACACTGACCTGCTGCCCTGGCCAGCTAGCTCATTGATCAAAGCGTCATCTGAGCACACCAAGGTTGCATGTTTGATCCCCAATCAGGGCACATGCAAGAATCAACCAATGGTCCTGGCCAGTGTGGCTCCGTTGGTTGGGCCTCGTTCCATGTACCCGGAGGTTGCTGGTTCAATTCCTAGTCAAGGGCACATGCCTGGGTTGTAGACTTGATCTCTCGTAGGGGGCGTGCAGGAGGCAGCTGATTGGGATGTTACGCTCTCACATAGATATTTCTCTCTTTTTTCTTCTCCCTTTAAAAATCAATAAA